ACTTGCTAAAAGTTGTTAGCCCCAAATCAGTGCTTGTGAGAAACCAACCCTGCCGATGCCCTGATCTTGGACTTCCAGCCCCCAGAACTGGGTGGGGGGGAATAAATCTCTGCCTTGTAAGCCCCGAGGTCTGCAGTATTTTGTCATGGGAGCTCCAGCAGACTAATACAGCATGACCGCAGAAATCCTGAATGCCCCCGACGCACAAAGGACACCCGTTCTTTATCACTGCTTCCTCAGCCCCTGGCCACCCTGCCCTGCACTAACCTTCCCGGCTTCCTGAGGTTCCCCCGGGACCAGTCCTCCAGAACCTTCAGTCAGCCTGACTTTGATTGCAGGCGGTTCTGGTGGCTTTGATTGGCCTTCCAACTCTTACCCCAGTGCATCTAACTGACTTCACCCCCAGAACTCTAGCCATAAGGAGGCAGGAGAGGTCATTTTGGCTTCCAACCTCCTGAGACAAGACACGTGGCCATCACCTCTGCCGAGAAGCTGCATTTGCTCTGGGCAGATGTGTGGAAACAGAGCTGGGCAGAACTTTCCAGGGGAATTCCCTGCGCTGGCAGGTAAGGTCGGCTTGGCTCCCTTGGGCCTTCGGCCCTGCTCACCGTCTGCCTGTCCAGGCTCTCCCGGCCAGTTGAAGACCTGCCGCCTGGGCCACACAAGGGCCACAGAACAGAAGACCTGGCTCACCACACCCGCTGCTGGTTGTGAAACTTTGGTCTTAGGCCTCTCTCTCATTCTGTCTCTTGGGGAAGCCTCACTTGTCCCAACTGTAAAATGGGCTGATGCTTTGATCTGTTCTGCAGTCCCACAGAGAAAGCGTAGGGTGGAATAACTTAATAGGCAGTGTGTGCCCATCATTAAGCAATTCATTCATAATTTAACTATTCATTCCCGAGTGTTTTCCTGAGGCCTGGTGAAGATGACTCACACTCACAATCCAGCCCCCAGAGGCCCTCGTTGGGGGTGCAGACTGGCTGTCTGGCTCTGTAATCACTCATCCATCACCCGTTTATCCAATAAACATCACCTGAGCCTCCAGGTGCCGGGGGCTGGACACCCGGGCATGCACCAAATCCCCTCCCCACCCTGGAGGATCTCCCTGCTTTAAAGCACCATACAAAAGAGAAAACGTTAATTATTATTTTGAGTAATAATTATAGTGGTGCTACAAAGGAGCCCAGAAGCTTTGGTAGGATATGGGCCAAATTTGCTGCCAAAAGAATTTTTGTCCTCAGGCCTGGGAAGTAAGGTAAGAACCACTTTCCTTCAATCCTTATTTACTCACTCAGAGGCAGGCCCCAAACTGGGAACTGGCAACAACTGGGTCTCTGTTATTGAGCTGCTCACCAGAGGATGAGCAGGGCCGATACAAAAAATAGTCCAAGCACGAGATGGAGAGAGAAGGGGCACTGTGGAAGCTCAGATGAGGAGCTTCGTCCAGATTTACTGGGGCAGGAGTGGTGGTCTGGGAAGGCTTCCTGGAGGAGGCAGCACCTGAACGGATTGCTGAGGAATATATGATGTTACCAGGTGAAGAAATGGAAGGAGGACATCCAGGGACTCATTTCTTTTTTCCATTCCTCACCAGTACTATAGTGCACTCGAATGCTGGAGAAACAGAGCTGTGTGTGGACAGGTGATCGAGGTGGTATGACATGAATGGCTACTTAATTTGTGAGGTCCACTGCAGAATGAAAATGCAGAGCCCCATGCTTTAAAAAGGGGGTTGGGGCACCTGGGTGGCTCAGTCCCTTAAGTGGCTGACTCTTGATTTCGGCTCGGGTCATGATCTGAGGGTCCTGAGATAGAGCCCCATGTCAGGCTCCGCGCTCAGTGGGGAGTCTGCTTCAGGATTCTGTCTCCCTCTGCCACCCTCCACTTTTCTCTCTATTAAATAAATCTTTTAAAAATAATTTAAAACAATTTAAAAAGAAGGTCTCCCACTCCCCCTGCTTGTGTTCCCTCTTTGCTATCTCTCTGTCAAAAAAAAAAAATCCTAAAAAAAAAAAAAAAAAAAAAGAGTTAAGAATCTCAAGATGGCCCCAGGAGGGCATTCAACGGAGCAGGGGGCCCTTCTTCTTCTGTTGTGGTTTTTTTTTTTTTTTTTCAATCAGAGCAGAAAGCAGACGCTTAACTGAGCCACCCAGGCACCCCTAAATAAAATTAAAAAAAACAAGAATAGGTGCCCTACACATGAATTGCACAAGACATGAGTAGACAACATTCTGTGGTAAAGTAAGCTGTTTTTATTATATGGGGCCGGGGTGGGGGGTGGGAGATTGGTGTTCAACCTTGCAGCTGGGTTGGGCTTGCATTTATCAGTTATGTTAACTGTAGGCAAAGTAAAAAAAAAGAAAAAGAAAAAGAAAACAAAAGCTAATGTTCATCAGCTCCTTACTCCCTACCAGGCGTGATCTAAGTGTTTTGCATGTATTCACGCAGGGAGCAGCACAAGGACCCTGTGAAGGGGTGACTATTCTAATGTGCTGCTGAATGCCAGACCCAAGAATGCTGGTGCGTGCATCACAACCCCCTGGAAGCCTTGTTAAAACAAAGTGCTGGGCCCAACACCCCCAGAGTTTCTGATTCAGTGGGTCTGAGGTGGGGTCCGAGAATTTGCATTTCTAATGAGCCCCCAGGTGATGCTCTGTGGCTTGTCTGGGATCTGACTCAGAACCTTTGGGCCACTGTGATGGAGCACAGTGATCATGTCTGAAGGAAAGTGGTGCTGGGCCAAGGGCTGGGGTGATCCTCACACCCTACCTACAAGTACCTGGCCGCATGGGAGGAGGTGGCTGAATCCTGCTCTCCATCTGCTTGCCGCACCCATCCCCTGGCTTGGGCCCACAGTCCTGAGGGCACCCTTTTCTGATCTGCACCAAGCCACCATAGAAGAGAGGAATTCTGGATCTGAAGGGGTCCGATTATGTGGGATCTTGCAGGCCAGATTCAAGGGTTTGCACTGGAGAGCTTTAAGCAAAAGAGTGACATGTTCCTATTTAAGATTTAAAAACTCTCTGATGAATGGAAAAATCAAAATGTGATATACATATGTAATGAATTATCAGTCTTAAAAAGGAAGGGAATTCCGACACATGCCACATCCTAGATGAACCCAGAGGACATTGTGCTACATAAGTCAGTCCCAAGAAGACAAACGCTGCCTAATTCCACTTCTATGGGGTGCCAGGGGCTGGGGCAGGGGGCAGGAGGGAGAATGGGGAGTTGTTTAATGGACAGACTTCCAGTTTTGCAAGAGGAAAAGAGTTCCGGAGACAGATGGTGGTGATAGTTGCACCACAGTGAATGTTATTAATGCCATTCTACTGCGTACTTAAAAATGGTTAAAATGGTAAATTTTACATTTTTTTAAAGATTTTATTTATTTGAGAGAGCGAGAATGAGAGAGAGAGAGACTACATGGGGGTGGGAGGGTCAGAGGGAGCAGCAGACGCCCCGCCGAGCAGGGAGCCCGATGCGGGACTCGATCCCGGGACTCCAGGATCATGACCCGAGCCGAAGGCAGTCGCTGAACCGAGCCACCCAGGCGCCCCATTTTACATGTATTTTATCACAAAAATGATCCCTCTGGCTGCTACGAGAAGGGACTGGGGTGGGAGGAGGCCAGAGCGGCGGCAGGACACTGGGGAGGCTGCTGCAGTCGTTCAAGGGAGAGGTCAAGGGTACTCGGGCCAGGTGACAGCATCAGGAGAAGTGGACAACCTGTGACCACCTGAAGGCCGCAGCCAACAGGCCCGCGGATGGGCCGGATGTGCGGGGCGACGGAGAAGGAGAAGCAAGCGCGACCCTTCCAGGTCTGGCCGGGCACCTGGACGAACGACAGATTCATCTTCTCAGAGGCGAACAGGCAGGACGAAGCGTCTCCTTGCTGGGGGTAGGGAGCAAAAGCTCCGGCCCACCCTATAGGTCTGCGACGTCAAACGGGCGACGGGACGTGAGCGGCAACCTCAGCCGTGCTCCTGGGGCAGAAACGAGGCCGGGGAGGCCGGAACTCCTGAAGCGAGAGGTGGGCCCGGCAGGAGGCCCCGATTCAGCCACTGACCGCAGCCGACCCGGGGGAGAGTTCCCGTGCGTTTAGCGAACGGGGAGGTGGGGACGACGTCCAGCGTTGCGCCCGGGCGCACGCGGCTCGAGCGAGCCGTCCTCAGACACAGGGCTTCGGCCCATCTCTTAAGAGTTCTCCCTGCTCTAAAAACCAACTCTTCCCGTTCCCGACATGGGGAAACTGAGGCAGCTGCCCTGTCCGATGGGAGCACGCCAACGACGTGCGGCCGGCAGCACCTTCTCCCGATTCACGCAGGAGGGAGCACTGAGGTCAGACGCTGGGCGCCAGGCTCACGGCGGAGGAGCCGAACCAGGGCGCCCAGGTCGGCCCCAGATACGCGGGTCCCAACGCGCGCCCACCTTGGACCCCGTCAGCGCCGCCCGGACGGAGTAGGCGACGCGCAAGGAGACACACCCCGCAGGCCTGACTGGCGCAGAACTCTGGCGCAACCCCTCCTCCTCGCCTGCCCGCCCCGACCGCCCGGGGATTTCATTTCCCGAGCGCCCGCCGGCGTCCCACCTCTACCTGTCTCAACAACGCCGCCATGACCCCTCCTTCTCCCTCCCTCGGCCTCCCCGTCGGCACGTCTGCGCATGCCCGCGTCCGCGTGCGAGCCAATGGGAAGCCCTGTAGGCATTCTGGGAAATGTAGTTTAGAGCCTGGCGCGCCGAGAGGCCTTGTTTGTCTGGGCTAATAGGCCGCTGGCCGTGCTCGAAGCACCTTGGAACGTGTAGTTCAGAACTATTTGGAGACGGGCGGGAGAGGTTCGTCACGGCGAGCGGCCAATGGGAAGCGTCCTTTTGCCGCGATGCTTCCTGGGAAATGTAGTTCTAGGTGAGGCCAGTGGGGCGGGGGGCGGGGGGCGGGGTCGGTGAGGGGCGGAACGGACGCCTCGGTGTCTGAGGGTTAGGGGGCGGGGGACGGATGAGTTTGGCGCAAAGCCTGCCGGGGCATGGAGTCCCGGTGAGCTTTGTGCGCATGTGCGACGAGGTGAGGGGGCTTGGGGGGCCTCGTCTGGGAGAGTGAGGTGAGCGAGAGGGGAAGGGGGGGTTGGGGGGGCGGTTGGATGCGCTTTGGGGGGGGGGGGGGCTGGAGGCCGGAGGCCGGAGGGATGGGGAGCGGGGGGCAGGGGAGAAGAAGGGGGCCGAGCGAAGCGGGAGGTAGGCGAGGGGGAGGGGAGAGGGAACGGGAGGGGGAGGGGCTGGGGAGGGTCGGGAAGTGGGAGGGGGCTGTGGCCCCTGGGGGTGGAGGACGCGGGAGAGAGTGGAAAGCCGGGGGCGGGGTGTGGGGGAGGGCCCCGGAGGGGGAGGGGCGGGGGTGGGGCCGGGAGCGGGACCGGGGGCCGGGTCCTGGGCGCGGGAGTCCCGCGGGCGCTCGCACTCGTGCGGAGCTCCGGGCGTCCGAGGCGGCGGCTGAGCGGCGCGCTCCCCTCTCCGGGTGCAGAGCGCCCACGTCGGGGGGTCGGGGGCTTGGTGCACGGGAGGCAGTTGGCCGGCGGGGGCAAAGTGCTCCAGGCTGCGTTCGCCTGCCGAAGCGGTTCCCCGAGCCGGCCTCCGGGCACCCTCTGTGCCCGCCGTTGGAGTCCCGGTCCCCTCGTAGATGGCCGTGCGCCTGTTTGGTGGCTAGCGGTGTCGCCCAGCGCCTCCCTGAGTAGCAGTAAGCGCGCTCCCACTCCGAGCACTTGCTGGGCCAGGTGCTGCTTTCAGCATTTTTTTTTTTTTAAGCTTTTATTTATTTGACAGAGAGACAGCGAGAGAGGGAGCACAAGCAGGGGGAGGGTCAGAGGGAGAAGCAGGCTTCCCGCGGAGCAGGGAGCCCGATGCGGGGCTCCATCCCAGGACCCTGGGGTCATGACCGGAGCCGAAGGCAGACACTTAGCGCCTGAGCCACCCAGGCGCCCCTGCTCGCAGCATCTTGCTTTGCCTCGCGTCTCACACTCATACGCTGGGACTCTTGCATCCCTAGGGTTTTTCTTCCCATTCTGCAGCCCAGGAAATGGAGAGCCCATGTATAAAAGGTGCTATTGTACTTTGTCCGAGGACAGATAGCTAGGAGGCTGAAGAACTGGGATTTGCTCCAGAGCCCTTGTGCTCTGAGTAAATATTTGTCCAGTGGACCAGTGGCTCTCAGCCGGGGGTACGTGACCATATCTGGAAACCTATTTGGGGTCGCAGTTGGGGAGTTGGGGAGACAGCCACTGGCATCTGAGGCCAGGGATGCTGCTAAACCTTCCACAGGGCATGGGACGGCTGCCACAACACAGAATTCTCCAGCCCTATGTATGACGAGCGCTGAGTTTGGAAAGCCTGCAGTAGGCACACAAGTCTTCATTGAGCACTTACTGTATGCTGAGCCACTTCTAATTCATATCCTTAGTAGCCCCATGTGGGGAAGGAGCTGTTATCAGTGCTGGTTTACAGGTGGAGAAGTTCAGCCCACAGAGGGGCAGGCAAATCATGGATCCAAGGTCAGGCACTGGATAAATGGCAGAGCTGAAAGTGGAAGCGTGATGGCCAAGGTCCAGAGCCCACCCCTTAAGCATTTTGTTAACTGAGCGTGCCATGCAGAGGTGCTGGGTGCAACCGGATTGTGGACCCTTCAGCTTGATGCCTGGGGCCTGGCTCCCTCAGGTCAGATTCCAGTCCCATCCCAGAGGGATCTTTCTCACAGCAGAGCAGGCTTCTCTGCATCTTTGGAGACTCAGCTCTGGCCCAGGTCTTCTGGGAAGCCCTCCCGGCCATTCCCAGGCTTGTCAGTCCTCAAATGGAGGGATGAGTGGGCAGGAGGTGATGTTGCAGATTGGCTGTGGAACCAGGCAGACCTGGGTGTGAGTTTAGGCTCTGTTACTTATTACCTGGGTGACTTTGGGCAAGATGTCTTCACCTTCTCCATTTGCAAAATGGGGGCAGTAATAATACTAATTTCATAGGACTGATCATCCCATAAATTTTCTTTGAGTGCCAGCCAGCATGCTGGCCTCTGTGTCTGTGGTCTCTTGCTCTCCTGAAGCTTAAATTCTCATGAGGGAAGAGAGCACACAAATATAACACACCGCCTTGTTAAACACTAAGGGGAAATTAATAAAGGTGACAGGATAGTAACTGCAGGGTAGGGTGTGTGGATGCTATGTTAATTGGATGATTTGAGGAGGCTCTCCAAGTAGGGGAAATTGCATGGAGGCCTCAAAGAAGAGAAGGAGCCAGCTGAGCAAGGAGGAGGGGAGAGGGAAGAGCAGGTACAAAGGCCCTGGGGCAGGACTGGCCTTGAGTCTGAGAATATAATCAAGGGGCCAGTGTGCCTGGAGGAGAGCCAGGGATAGAATGGTAGGAGACAAGAAAGGTAGGCAGATGTGAGACCTTGTGTAGCAAGGAAGCAGAGGGTTTTGAGTGGGGGAAGTGACATAATGTGATTTGTATTGAGGGGAAAAAACCCTTTCTGATTGCTGTGGAGTGATTTGTGTCTAGGGCGGCAGGCTTGGGAGCAGGGAGATGATGAGGGGGGCTGTGGTGGCCGGCCCAACAACGAGATGATGTCCATGGTCAGTGGCGTAGTAGTAAAGAGCCAGAGCTTTGGACTTGGGCTGTCCAGGGGACCTTTCAGCCCAGCTACTCAGAGCCTGTGTCCCAGAGCCAAGGATCTTCTCTCTTGACCTCCTTTGCTCTGCTGCAAAATGCGGTTGGCCACAGAAATTTCTTGTATCAAAAGGAGAGTTGTTCAAACACAGACTTTCTCTTAAATCTCATTGGTCAGAGCCCTTGTCTACCTCCTGCCTTGTGGTCGAGAGGAGTGTCCTTTAGTCGTGATCGAGAGCAAGCTACTGTAGCAAGGAGGCCCCAAAACACAGTGGCGCAAGTCAGATAGAACTTGTTTTCTGACAGTGCAGTGGTGTTCTGGGTTGGGTCAGTGCCGTGACCCACAGGGTCATCCAGGATCCCTTCTGTGTTGGTCCCACCATCCTTTAGGTCAGGGGTTGGCAAACTTTTTCTGGAAAGAGCCAGATAGTAAATATCTCTAACCCTGTGGGCAGTTTTGCAGGTTATTCAGTCTCTGTGATTCTACTCAGCTCTGCCTTCTGAGCTCAAAAGCAGCCATGGACGGTGCATGAGCAAATAGGCATGGCCATGTACCAGCAAAACTTTATGTAAAAAAAGAAGAAGCGGGCACCTGGGTGGTTCAGTCGTTAAGCGTCTCCCTTTGGCTCAGGTCGTGATCCCAGGGTCCTGGGATCGAGCCCCGTGTGGGGCTCCCTGCTCAGTGGGGAGCCTGCTTACGCTTCTCTCCCTTGCTCGGGCTTTTTCTCTCACTACCTCTCTTTTTCTCCCTCTCAAATCAATAAAAAATCTTTCAAAAATTAAAAAAAAAAGGCAACCAGCTGGCTCACTTGGTAGAACACGCGACTGTTAATCTCAGGGTTGTAGGTTCAAGCCCCACATTGGTTACGGAGAATACCAAAAAATAAAATCTTAAAAAAAAAAAAAAAGGCTACAGGCCAGATTTGGCCCACAGGTGGCTGTTTGCTGACCCCAGTCCTAGTGGTTCTCAAGTGTTTTGAACTCAGGACCCCTTTATATTCTTAAAAATTATTGGAGATCCCAAAGCATTTTTATTTATAGCAGTTGTGTTTATGGGTATCTATCCTATTAAAATGTAAGGTCAAAGAAATTTCAAAGTATTAATGCATTTAGAAATAGAAGTAATCAACCTTTCACATGTTGACGTAAATAACATTTTCTAAATGGAAAGTAACTGTGTTTTCCAAAACAAAAAATTGGAAATGTGGCCTTATTTTTCTGCGAATCTCTCCAATGCCTGGCTCAAAGAAGACGGCTGGGTTTCGCATCTGCTTCTGCATTCGGTCTGCGTTCATGCAGCCTCTGGAAGACCCCAGCGTACACTCAGGAGAGAGGGATAGTAAAAGAGGCAGATAATGTCTTACTGTTGTGATGACGCAGTTCTGACCTCTCAGTGCCCCAGGGGTCCCTGGACCACACGAGGACGTCTCCTCCAGGCCGGGGTCTCTCAGCCTGGGTGCTGTCGACATTTGGGGCTGGATCATTCTGTGCCGTGGGACTGCCCTGTGGGCTGTAGGACCCCCAGCTGCCCCCCCCCCCGCCGGATGCCGGCAGCATGGTTCCCCTGCCCCCATCCAGCAGTCAGAAGTCTCCGGACATTTCCAGCTGTCTCCCAAGGTCACATCACCCCTGGTGGAAGCACTGCCACGTCCAGGTCCCCTCCTTCAGGAATGGGAAGAGGAAGAGGAAGGCACACAGCTTCCTTGGGGGCGGGGGGATTGGACAGAGGAGGAAGGGGAGAGTGGATGGGGGCCAGTCCTGCAGTCCACCATGGTTCCTGATCCCTGGACGTGACTGGGGGCCTGTCCGTGTATGGGGCAGCTCAGGCAGCCACAGGAATACCACAGACTGGGGCTTCGACAACAGATGCTTATTTCTCAGTTCTCGGGCCGGAGTCCACGGTCAGCTGCAGGCAGATTCGTGTCTGGGCTGCAGTGGGCAGCCTGCTTATCTTCTCACGTGGCGGAGCACATCCGGGAGATTTCTGTTCCTGCAAGGGCTCCGATCCCGTGGATTCCGACCTCATCCTTATGGCTTCTCTCGTCTCTTTTCCCCGTTTTATTGAGGTGTAACCAACATACAGTGTTAAGATACACGTGACACTCTGACGTGGGTACATTGTGACTCGGTCGCCACGGTGAGTTCGGTTCACGTCTTTTGACTCGCATAGTCACCCTTGCTTTTTCTTGTGGTGAGAAAGAACCTGTAAGCTCACTCCCCTAGCAGCTTCCAAGCAGACGGCACAGTCTCCTGAGCCCCAGTTGCCACGCTGTATGTTAGACCCCCCCACATGACTTCTCGTCTCCTACCCGGAGCTTGTACCAGCTCAGCCGACACTCGTGTGCTCCTGCTCATCTCCCCAAACCCACCTCCAGATACCGCGGTGCTGGGGTTGGAGCTTCATGTGGACTTGGGGGGCCGTGAATAAGGAAGCGGTTGCAGAGGTGTCTTTGGAGGAGGCGTTGTGAGCATCTGTTGCAGGGGATGCTGGGGACTCAGGGAATGCGTGTCATCGGGGTGACCAGTGACGACGATGATAGCACTGACGGGACCTCGGGGCTTTCTGAGCACTCGCTGGTGCCGCGCACTGTGCCAGCTGTCTGTGTGTTTACTCCTCACACGAAGCTGAGGGAGGAGTCGGAGGAACAGCAGGGCCCGCGGTCACCCTCAGGGAAGGGCAGAGCCGGGATCTGAGCCTGGGCCGTCCCAGGACGGGGATCCGACTCTCCCTTCCTTCGGCACCTGTTGTGTGCAGGGCCCTGGGCACAGCAGCCCACAGGCACCTTCCTTCCCAGGCACTCCTCCCTTGGCTGTGCCAGGTAGGGGAGCACTTCGACCTACAGGGGAAACTGAGGCACAGAGGGCACCGCCGCTTACTCCAGGTCACCCAGCCCTGACCTCTGACGTGGGCATGTGTGGGGTGCACCCGGCAGGAGGCGGTGGTTTCTTGAGTCCCTGAGCTGGGCTCTGACGGTGCTAAACGCCCCTCCCCACAGGTGCTGCCGTCCCTGCGGGGCTCACAGACCCCCATGGAGGTCCCGTCTGCCCAGCCCGTGAAGCAGGAAGGCCCATCGGCCGAGGGCCTAACCCTGGACTCGCCCCGGCACCGCTTTCGCCACTTCCACCTGGGCGACGCGCCGGGCCCCCGCGAGGCACTGGGCCTGCTGCGTGCCCTGTGCCGCCAGTGGCTACAGCCCGAGCTGCATACCAAGGAGCAGATGCTGGAGCTGCTGGTGCTGGAGCAGTTCCTGAGTGCCCTCCCTGCCGACATCCAGGCCTGGGTGTGCAGCCGGCAGCCCCGGAGCGGGGAGGACGCCGTGGCCCTGCTGGAGGAGCTCTGGGTGAGCACAGGGTTGGTGGGGGGTGAGGGGCCCTGCTCGCACCCACGTCCCTCAGCTGCCACCTCACCTGGTTGGAGACCGGCCTCCCCCCTCCCTGCCTCGCCTCTGCTCTCCGGAGGGCCACTGGTCTCAGGACACGATTGAGCGTGGGGAGGCTGTGGGGTGGGTGTGTGCATCAGGCAAGTAGCGCGGTGCAGAGGGGTGGTCCCCGAGACGCCCTCCTGTTGAACGATTCAGGAGGAGGACTCAGAACCATCCGAAAGCCGTCTTGCTCACAGTTGGGGTTTGTCACGGCAGAAGGACGCAGATCCGGTCAGCGGAGGGAGGAGGGGCAGGGCTCTAGCCCAGCCCCGTGCACGAAGCCTCTAGCTTTCCTCCAACGGGGGCGCGTGGACGGTCCTGCTGGCCACGGAGCGTGACAGCGTGCGTGTGGTATCGCCGGCTGGGGTGGCTCCTTGAGCCTTGGTGCCTGGAGTTTCTGTTGGGCTCCGCTGTGCATGCATGACCCGCCTCGCCCTCCAGCCCCCCTGGAGGCTGAGCGCATCCTGGGGGTCTGAAAGTCTCCGTTATAAATTGTACTGTTGGACTGGCCAGTGTGGCCCCAGGGCCCCCCACACACAGTCGCTCACGTCAGGTAGGCTGCCCCAGGGCCTTAGAGGTCACCTCCCGGGGAGACTAAATGCTTGACTAAAGGCAAGGGGTCGCCCGACAGGAGCCTGTGGGCCCTGCCCCCACCCGGTTTTGTGGAGTGTGACAGAACCTCCCAGGTGCACAGCCGGGCCGGTCCATTCACGTGGTGCCTGTGGCCCTTTTGCCACAAGGACTGAGCAGGGCAGTGCGGACACAGACAGCCGAAAACCTTTACTCTTGGTCCATTGTAGGAAAAGCCCGCTGACCCGCAGTTTAGAGCCGCGCTGTCCAGGGAAAATAGGACGTGAGCCCTGTCTGTAGCACGTTGGAAAGGGCGGAAAGGGACACGCGGCTTCAATTTGTTGAACTCAGCGTATCCGGCCTGTTACCACCTTGGCAGGTGGCACGTGTCCCCTTTCCAGGTGCTCAGCAGCCACATGTGGGCCGCGTGGTGAGCGGTGGCCAGAGCCTGGCGGGCACGGGGGTCAGAGGCTGGCGGACGGCGGGGGTGAGCAGTCAGAAAGATGGGAGAGTGTCCGCTGTGAGTGCCTGTGGCACCCCATTGGGTGCTGGGGACGCAGCCGTGGTCTTGTTGGCCCCTTCCGTCTCTGAGGCCCAGCTCCTCTGATAGGCTCTCCCCCGCTTCCTGGGACCAGCCTCACCCCTCCCCTCACAGCCGCTTCTCTGGGTCGTGGTTCCCTGTCGCTGCCACCGTCACACGTCACTGCAGAGCCCGTGCCTTAAAGACAACCCAGACGAACTCACTTGGAGTGCTGGAGGCCAGGAGTTTGACTCGGGTCTGGCTGAAACCTGGGTGTGGGCAGGGCTGTGTTCCTTCTGGAGGCTCGAGGGAAGAATCCATCCTTGGGCCTCACTTGACCTCTGCTTCCAAGGTCACGTCCTCTCCTGACCCCGACCCTCCTGATGATACTGGGCCCGTCCAGATAATCCTGGGCTGTCCCCTCATGTCAGTTACACCCGCAAAGTCCCAGCCCTTCTGCCACATGAGGGCACAGAGCCACGAGCCCTGGGACCAGGGACTATTGTGCCTGCTACAAAGGCAGGTGCGTGTCCAAGGACTCGGAAGTGGTGTGGGAGCGCGGCATCAGATTCTCGTGGAGTCATGATTCCCGGTGATTCCCCGACGGCTTCCCTGGGTTCCCGGGAGTCATTCTCTCCCTCTCTGGTAGGAGAGCAGCCTCGGGCTGGGAGCCGGCTGGAGCATCCCTGGGGTGATGCTGTTCTGCGGGATTGCACCGAACCATCCATGGCCCCTCTGATGCTGCTTCCCCATTGCTGGTGGGACAGACACCTTCTTATTGCACTCAGACTGTGGCGGAGGGACCTGGAAAGCTAGAGTCTGGGAAACGCCTCTGGGACGAGGGTGTCTCTGAGGTCTGGGTCCTCGCCTGTGTGGGGCAGAGCCTTCCCTGATGCATTGTGCACGCACTGCTGTAAGGCCGTGGCTCCAGACCTCGGCTGCCTAGAACACGTGGGGGCTTTGAAGAACACTGCGGCAGGGTCTCTCACTCGGGAGCTGAGTCTCCTGTTACCAGGTGCGAGGGGCCACGGCTTCAGTGTATTTTTTTTTTTTAAGGTTTTATTTATTTACTTACTTGAGAGAGAGAGAGAACACAAGGAGGGGGAGTGGCAGAGGCAGAGGGAGAAGCAGGCTCCCCGCTCAGCGGGGAGCCTGATGCGGGGCTCAGTCCCAGGACCCCAGGATCATGACCTGAGCCGAAGGCAGACGCTTACCTGACTGAGCCACCCAGGCACTTGGCTTCACTGTATTTTTAACTTTTTGTGGGGGTGTACAGTTCTCTGCATTGTCAACACACGGTGGTTAATTGTAGCCATAGTCAGGACACAGACCTGTGTTGTCACCCCAGAACTCCGTGGTCCGCCCTCACAGGCGCCCTCGCCCCAGGGCCCCACGGGCTGCCAGTCTGCGGTCCGTCTTCTGGGGAAGCACAGAAAGGAACTCACAGTGTGTGAGCTTTGGGGGCTGGGTCTTTGGCTCAGCACTATGCCTTTGAGATTGACACATGTGGTCGCGTGTGTCAGTAGTTGGTTCCTTTTTCACGCCAAGTAGAACCCCGTGGTGTGGACACACCAGTTTCTCTGTCCCTCCCCCGTGGAAGGACCCAGAAGTGCTCTCCAGTGTTGGGTGATTTTGAATGCAGCTGCTTTAAAGACCTGGGGGTGCATTCCTGCGTGAACCTGAGTTTTTATTTAGCTGGAGTGGATCGCAGGGGGTGCGAGGCCTGGGTTTCGTGGCAGGCGTGTTTGATTTTAGGAGAAACCGCCAAACTGCTTCCCGAGGTGGCTGTGGCACTTGGCGTTGCCACCGGCAGCGTGTGAGCCTCCACAGTTCTAAGGGCTCTTCTTGGCTGCTCTGATTCCAGGGGGCCGAGAGAAACCCCTACCCGGCTGAGCCGGCCTTGTGGAAAATCATGTTATGGTTCGTCTAGCAGTGACTAGAACATAGGCCCTCAAGCGCAGGAGCCATGACTGTCTTGTTCACTGACGTGTCCCTGGTGCTTTGAGTAGTGCCTGGTACATCGTAGGTGCTCAGCAAAGGGCTTGCCAGGGAGCAGCGAGTAACCCCCAGGCTGCTTCTGTTGGTTGCGGGCGGGCAAGTGCGAAGTTTCCTGTCAGGTCTGGAGGGAGAGCCTGGTCTGTTCTGCAGGTTAGGGGAGACGGCGGAGGGGGGACCAAATTGGCCACGGTCAGTCACCTGCATCCGGTCCCGGGCACACAATAGCCAGGGGGCCAGGTGTCTGCCAGCCCAGGAAACCCAAAGGAAAGCGGGTGGGCGGTCAGGAGCTGGGAGGCTGGGAGGGCCGGGCCGCAGTCAGCACAACAGGAAACGCCCGCCGGCCTGAGCCTCCGGGTGCTCCGGGAATCCTGGGGCGGCAGAGACAGCCCGCAGCACGGGAAGAGCATGGGCAGCCGGCAGAGGTGAGAGCCGAAGCCGGTGGCACTGGCGGGGCCGGTGTGCAGGAAGGCGAGGGCAGCAGGGAGCCCGGAGAGGTGAAGGCGGGTGGCGTGGTCGTGGCTCAGGGTGGCCCGCAGGGCTTGCTCAGCTGATGAGGTTGAGTGGTCGGCTAGATTCTGGCTAGACTCTGAACCTTCGGGAGAAAGACGTGGTCGGGTCTCCTGCCATCACTCCCTGCCCCCTTGCCTGGTGGAGCTGGAATAAATACATGAATGAGTTCCAGGGTGGGAAGTGCAGACCTGAACCCAAGTGTCCTAGCTGCCCCAGATGGGCAGTGATGGTGGCCAGGCGGCTCCGTGTGCGGCACCCAGGGGTTCCTCCGAGGACACCTTGCTTTGATACCACCTGCAAGTTTGGGGGTCCCCAGGGCCAGCGTGGGTTCGGTAATCCATGAGAAGGATTCAGGACTTGATGAGAGCTGGGGTGCTCACAGTTCTGATTTGTTTCAGTGAAGGGACGCAGAGCACAGTCAGCGAGGGGAGAGGCACTTGGGGCAGGTCCAGGAGCACGCCTCTCCTGGAGGCGCCATGGGGACAGCACCAGGTTGTGCTGACCATGCTGACGAGGGAGGCTCTCGAGCCTGGTGTCCAGGCTTCTTATTGGAGGTCAGTTATATAGTCTGACTCTAGTCTCCAGCCCCTCTGGAGGCTAAGAGCCCCCCATAAATCCTGTTGTTAGCCCGGCCTGCCCGTCTCCACCCAGCCCTGAGGGGTCGGTACTGCATACTGTTATCCTCTGTCTCCCGGATGGCAGTGTGCGTCCCAGAGAAGTCAAGAACCTTGCCCAAGGTCACAGGGCTAGTTGGGGGGCAGCGGGAGGAATAGAACCCACAGGCCCTGGCTCTAGATCCTGCTTCTAAGCCCTGCTGTACGCCAGATACTGAGTCCCCAGTGTCTCACCCAGGGCCCCAGCCTCATCCCCATGGCCACTCTGCCTGAATATCTTCTTGTGGCTGGGGCTTGGTCTCTGCACAGCCTAGCATCCCATGTCTGGGACCCCAAAGCAGAGAGCCCCAGGCCATCCAGAGGATGTGTGTGCCCTAGAATCGCCAGGAGAGCCTGCTGGCGGTGTGGCTTCCTGGGTTCTGCTCGCGGGCGGGCGCCTGGCATGTGTCCTGCCCCTGGCCTGCTGCACTGGGGGCGGATGTCACCTGTGGGTCGCAGGAGCCCCACCGAGGGCCGTGGAGCTGGGGAGTTCCTTCTGCCGTGCCCTCGGCATCTGCCAGTCTGGGTCAGGACTCGGGGTGAGACTGAGTGCCACCTCAGCCCCTCTGCTCTGACCCCAGGGTGGGAGGTAACTTGCTCGGGGTCCCACAGGCAGGCCTGTGGCTGGGAGGCACCTGGGGACCTGGTCGGCCTCAGGCCAAACCCTGACTCCACACCTCGGTACCCCCTTATCTTGACTCCCTTCTTCACCAGAGCAAAGGCAGACAACTTGACCCTTTTTCCCTTCCATCGTTCGCTCACCTGGCGTCCCTTGAGGACGGTCGGAAGAGGCACCGGGAAGTGGAGCCCTGTCCTCTTCCACGGTGCGGGGAACGTGATGCGGGGCAGTCGCAGTGGGAGACGTCTAGCAGTTCCTATGAAGGTTAGACACCTGCTACCCTGTGAGCCAGCACTTCACTGCTGGGCGTACGTCCACACAAAACTTGTCGCTGATGTGAGGCGAACGGCAGCAGGCCAGCAGTCTCCGTAACAGGCAGAAGATGGAAACGACCTGTGTGCCCACTGGAATAGATGCACAGAATGTGGTCCAGCCTCACAAGGGAACATTATTCAGCCACGCAAGGGACTGAAGCACTGACGCCTGCCAGAGTGACCATCAAAGACGTGACGTGGAAAGGGGGAAGGAGCCAGTCAGAAGGGACTGTAGACTCTGCAAGATTCCACTAACGCAACACCCAGAACAGGCACATCCACAGACCGAGAGAAGCCTCGGCTCCAGGAGTTGGGGCAGGGAAGGGGCGTAGCTCTACTGGGTTTGAGATTTAGTTTGCCAGTGACGAAAATACTCTAAGACTGGGGATGGCTGCACAGCTCTGAATACACTGAAAGCCGCGGAATTGTATTTTCAGTGGGTGAATTCTGCAGTAGGTGAATTATGTCTCGCAACAGCTGTTACTAGAAGGATTGGTACCAGGGATTCCACAGAAGGAAGGCAGGCCCTGCCCTGCCCTCCTGGAGCCCACAGTCTGTAGGAGGAGGTGGGCAAGCACAGGCATGAAAATGCAGCGTGACAGTTAAGGCGACTCTGTCAGGGAGGAACAAGTGATAACTCCACACAAACTTCAAACATTGAAGAAGGTACACTTCCCAACTCCTTCTGTGGGCAAAACCAAAGATGCTACGAGAAGGAAAACTGTAGGACAGTACCCTTAATCTCTAAATAATTATGTTGCATGAGAGAACCGCCCCCCCCCAAAAAAGAGTACCTATTTACTCTGTGGTTCTACATACAGTTTCTAGAATATGAAAACAGCTCTGTAGTGATGGGAAATGCATCAGCATTTGCTGATTCGTAATTCGGGGATTCAGAGAGATCACAAACGTGCATAAGGAAACTTTTAGGGGCTGTTAGATATGTTTGCCATCTCGACGCTCATGGTAGTTTCGAGTGTGTACATGTTGAAACTCACTGGATCGCATGCTTTAAATATATGCATTTATAATGTACATCCATATTATAACCTCAATAAAGCTGTTGAGTAGTGGGGCGTGATAGGTAGCAGGATAGGGGCTGTTCTTAAATCACACAGGGTCATAAACCTGTGTGTGGTGGCAGGGATGGGGGCTCAGTCAAGTCTTGAAGGACATGTCAGAGGTAGACAGGGAAAAGGGGATGGGAGAAGGAGTTCTAGGCAGAGGGAACAGAATGTGCCAAAGAGTGGAGGTTTGAGAGAGCCTGGCACGCTCAGGGCATCGTTAACTTTCTACTATGGACTTCCAGGAAAGGACCTGGCCAGAGGTGGGGCTGGAGGAGGAGGTGGGGCCGGGGCCCATGGGCCACAGCAGAAGGAAGCAGCGGGTCATCACCTGTAGCACCATAACAGCCTGAGCTGCACGAGTGGTCAGGAATCAGTTTACAGTCTGCTAGAGCAAAAAGGTGACCATGCAAAATATTCCTCCTGCCACCACCAGACAACGTGGGCGTTCACAAATTCCAAACAATGCACGTTTGAGAAAGGCTCTCTGGAAGCTCCCTGCAGAGTCTTCTTGCTAGTTGATAGAATTTTAGGCATCACTGACTTCCATCCTAGCTGTTGCATTTGAAAGAAGTCAAATATGAGAAGGGGGTTGGATGTGTGGAACTCAGGAGTCAGCTCTCCTTCGTTGGCACTAGGATTCTGATCTGTTCCTTGGGGACAAGGGCTTAAGAAACAATGACAATAGCATAAAGACACCTAAAATAGTCTGAAACATTTTCAGTAACCTTCGGTGTTCTGGCTGGCACCATCCTGCTCACAAGTGGTCTACTGTTTGAGCTGGGAAAAGTTCCATTGCTTTATTTTTTTTTCACAAGTTAAAGGTAGCTTATGTGTTTTTCTTGTGTATTTTGTCAAGGAGTTTGCACTTTATCCAGAGGGCAGTAATTATGAAGCTAAGGTAGGAATTAAAGCAAGTGTATCAATTGTCTGTTGCTACCTAACAAATCACCCCAAACTTAGAGGCTTGCAACAACAAACACTTGTTGTCTCACACAGTTCCCGTGGATCAGAAATTTGGGGCAGATCTGACTCAGGGTCTCATGAGGGGGTCACCTGGGGGCTGGAGGGTCTGCTCCCCAGACGGGTCCCTCACCTGGTGACCAGCAGGAGGCCTGGTAGCCAGCTTCCCCCGGAGCACGTGATAGGACTTGATGACTGCCTAAACATGGGGTTGCAGGGGAGAAAAATTAGAGGCTATCGCTGTGGTTTCCCATTTCTGAGTGTGGTATCTCTTATTTCAGGGACCAGCAGTGAGGGCACCTCAGGATGTGACAGAAGGCTCTGGGGTGACCATTGGAAAGGATGGTGTTGGGATGATGCCCTTAGGTGAGTAGCTCACCCCCTCACCCACATGATGCTCCTCTCCCACCCTGAGGGGTCCCCCTTCTGCTCATCCTTCATTTGCTCAGTCAACATTCCTGGTGTCCCTGCCATGTGCCAGGCCCTGAGCTAGGCCCCAGGGCTGGAGATGGATCAGACATGCCCCCACAGAGGGCACAGCGAGGTCAGACAGAATAGCCGGCGCCCAGCCATGCATACCAGCTGCTGGTGTGTGCCAGGCACCATTCTGCCAGCTCTCCTGCAGCCTGTGTTGCCACGTGGCAATGTGGCCCCAGTACATCAACAGTTTTTTCTCAAGAAAAGACAAAAGTTTGGATTTTTATGAAACTGCCTGATTTCCACATGTTCTTTACATTTTTAAAACACGCTGCTGTGCACCAAGCCAACACCACCGTTGGTTGACCCACTGGTACACTCTGCTCTCTGGAAGCCGGTGTCCAACAGAGTAGAAACCCAAGGTCCAGAGAGCTCAAGCTGCTTGCCTAAGGCCACACAGCAAGTTAAGGCCAGAGCCAGGGTGGGGACGGTGGCTTCTGCCCCCGATAGCAGGTGTCTCTGCTCCCAGGAGAGGCCAGGACACCAAGGCTTGGGACTGGCATGGAGGGAATGTGTGGGTGGGGGCGAGGGGTTCACACTTTTTGTGTTGCACTGGGATTGTTTTTGTAAATTGAATCATGAGCCGGAGCTTATCTCCCTGGAACTCCATAGAGCAGTTTAAAAACCTGGAGAAAGGAAATGTGAGGTTCTTTGTCCACCTGACTTACCCACCCAATCATTTGTCTACCCAGAACCCACTCAGACGCCACCCACCCCCTTCACACATCATGCAGTCAAGCCACCTACTGTTCAGCCATCAGCCCGCCTCCCTGCTCTCGTACATGTGCCCCCCCACTGTCCCCTCTCCGTCCACCCCCCACCCCCATCCATCCACCTACTGTCCACCTACCCATCGTCCATTTTTTTTAAACCAGGATTTTTTTTTTAAGATTTTGTTTATTTATTAGAGAGCAGGGGGAGGGGCAGGGGGAGCAGCAGATACCCTAATGAGCAGGTAGCCCGACACAGGGCTCAGTCCTAGGATCTGAGATCATGAGCCTAGAGGAAGGCGGATGCTTAACTCCCTGAGCCACCCGGGCGCCCCACCGTCCATCCATCTGTCCGTCCTCCACGCCTCCGTCTGTACCCATCTCCTCCTCCATCCGCCCACCTACTGACCTGCCTTCCTCCATCAAGCTGCTCGTGGGTACACCACTCATCTTCATCCCCCATTCACCCACCCTCCCTCACACCCACGCATCCATCCGCGCCTCCATTTGTTAGGCGCTGCCTGCAGCGTGTACCGAGCACTGTGCCGGGTCCCAGGGACACGGATGCATAAGAAGCCTGCGGTCAGCCCTTCCCCCGCCGCCATGGTTTCCTGGCATTAAGCTTTGCCCCCGCCCGCGGTGCCCTGCACCGCCTCACCACCGTGTGCAGAGCCCCCTGCCCTCACTCTGTGCCTTTGCCCGGCAGGAGATGCGGCCCCCGGGGCTGAGGTGCTGGCGACGGGGGACGCCCAGGCCACGCGCCCCTACAAGCAGGAGCCGGGCAGCCCTCCGCCGGCCCCCGCGGCGCCGCCTGCGCCGGGCCTGCCCGCCTTCCTGGCGGCGGGGGCCCCGGGCACCACCTCCTGCCCCGAGTGCGGCAAGGCCGCCCTGAAGCCCGCCCACCTGCTGCGCCACCGGCAGAGCCACTCGGGCGAGAAGCCACACGCCTGCCCCGAGTGCGGCAAGGCCTTCCGGCGCAAGGAGCACCTGCGGCGCCATCGCGGCACACACCCCGGCAGCCCCGGGCCGGCCCTGCGCCCGCTGCCCGCGCGCGAGAAGCCGCACGCCTGCTGTGAGTGCGGCAAGACCTTCTACTGGCGCGAGCACCTGGTGCGCCACCGAAAGACGCACTCGGGGGCGCGGCCGTTCGCCTGCTTTCAGTGCGGCAAGGGCTTCGGGCGCCGCGAGCACGTGCTGCGCCACCAGCGCATCCACGGCCGGGCTGCGGGCGGCGCGGGCGCGCCGGCGGGGCCCGGGGGCGGGGGCCCTTTCCCGGCCTGGCCGCTGGGGTAGCCGCTGCCGTGCCCGCGCCGCCCGCAGCCCCCCCCCCCCCCCAGCCCCCGCCCCCGGCCCGCAGCCCTCCTCCTCCAGCGCTGGCTCCTGAGTCGGCACCCTACTGTTGCCTCTGCCCTTTCCGCCCTGGCCACACTTCCCTATTCGGTTCTCACGGCTCCCGGGCCTTCCCCCTCCTGGCAGGTGCGTCCACGAACCGAGCCCCCCCCCCTTTCCCTGTCCACCTGCCGCAGGCCCCAGGCGCAGCGAGGCCGGCCTGGTGCCCAGGAGAGGAGCGCAGGGCAGGGGCGGCAGGCCGGCCATGGATCCAGAGGAGGCTGAAGGAAGGAGACAGGATCTTGTCCCTAGGAAACCTCTCCCCACCGGGGGAGAGGGGGTGGGGGGGTGATGGTTCTGACAGGATGGACCGGGCTCTGCTGCTGTGCTCCTTGGTCTTGCCCCTCTCTGTGGCCGGGAGGGCACATGATGGACAGAGATGCCTGCTCCTGGGAAGCACTGTTGGGACTACAGTTCACCAGCATCTGGAGAGTAATAAAGTTGTTGATGGGAGGTGCCGACTGGAGTCCCACGTTCTGTGTAGCTGACCCTCCGCGGACTCCCCATGGCGTGGGAGTCCCTGGGCACCAGCTCTTGGCCCTTGAGCCTAGAGAGGAGGTGGTGGGAGATGGGTTTCATCCAGCCCACCTGGGGGCCCAGGGGCAGGTGTCTCCACTGCTGTCTTTAGAGGCCAGAACGAGGCTCGAGGGAGGGATTGGCCTAGTGCCAAACCCACCTGGGTTCTAATCTCAGCCTGTGGCTTCCTGGCCGCATGAGTCTCGAGTCTTGGTGTCTACATCTGTAAACAGCAGTGGTCCCCACGTACATTGCTAGAGCCTTCATTGGGGGAGGCCCCCAAATATCAGTATCAGTAAGTCTTGAGGAACCCATTTTGCCAAGAGAAGAATCCAATCTCTTGCTGAGGATGGGGTATGAGCTTGGGGGCCATGGGTCTGGGACCCCATCAGAGGGGGAGGGACTGGGGGTGGCTCACTGTGGAGTGCAGACCCTGGCCTGCCTCATCAGCTCCCCTGCCCCCCGCCTTGTCCTCGGTTCAGCACAGTCCTGGGGTTCAAACCCTAGTGTTTTCTCTTGAAGATGCTGTTGCACCTGACCAGTCTAGGCTCTGGTCGCAAGGGGAGTCTGGGAGCGTGACTAGCTGGACTGTCAGGCGTCTGTAGCTAGAGGCTGGCTCCCCCTTCCAACACCTGTGGGGCAGGACGGTTCCCAGACAGCTGAGGGAGGCGTGGGTGCCAGCAGTCTCAAGGAATGCCGTGAGTCTGCCGAGGTGCCCTGGACCAGCCCCTGGGTCTCAGCACGCACCTTGTGAGACAGGTGGGAAGGGCAGGTCGGAGGTCCAGTGGAGCAGTGAATGCAGACTCCCTGCTTGCCGGCGTGAGCCCCCACACGCGCCCGCGTCGCGGCCGTGTCGCCGTGCCCACTGTCCAGCAGGGGAAACCGCTTGGAGAAGCTGCGTCTGCTGCTGCAGGACCTCCGGAGGCGGGGTGGGCCGGTGATAACAGGACAAACTGCTGCTGGCTGTGGGTCAGGCCCTCTGTCGGCGCTGAAATCCACCATCCCATTTATCACCACAGCCCAGTGAGGCTGTCCCCATCACACAGATGGGGAAACAGAGGCCCTGGAAAGGTAAGTGGCTGCGGGTCCACTGGCCCCGCGCGCGCTCATCACTCAGTGATCGTGGGGCCTCTGCCACCCCCGCGAACGCGGCTTTGGCTGGTGAGGCTCCGCCCCTTCTAACAAGCTCTGCCGGACCCTGATTTCCTCGGGGAGCCCCTCGACACACACCGCCTCCGTCAGTGTGGACTGATGATGACGGTGTCCCGCACTCGGGATACAAAGTCATCCCGAGCCCGGCTCGTGGTTAGTGTTGGCGGTCAGGTGCTTGGGCCTTCGGTGCCCGCCAGGGGGGCGCACCCTTCTGGCCAGCTTCCACGTGTGTCCCACCAAGACTTGGGGGGCAGCCCTCTGACAGGAAGGAGATGCGAGAAGGCTGACAGGAGGACCCTCCACAAGGGCAACAGCAGGCTCGGTGCCAGCTGGTGGGGGGTGCAGAGTGCTGCACACATGACCCCCCAGCGGCCCTCCGCCCCGCCCCCAGACTCACCGCGGCCACAGGCGTCCATCTCCAGGATGTTGCTGGGGTGGCAGCGAGTGGGAGCGACCCAAAGTCCATCCCTGGGAGAGTGGGGGTGAGGGGGTGCACCCACATCGCTCGGGAAAAGCCCAAAACTCAGAAATAAGAACATTCAGCGGTGCCTCCTTATGAGATCATGCAGAGCATTGAAGTCCTGTCTGAGGGTCATCTTGTAAATGAAGCCGTGACTAACAATTGTTTGGGGGCCGCCATTTAGCCCTCCTGCCAAGTTCGAGGTTAACTTGCACACAGCTGGTTCGTGTGACTGTTTTTGTTCGCTCCGATAGACAAGATACCCCCCGACCCCAGTTAGGGTTCACTGTCCTGCGGGTCATTACCCAGTGTGGACGCAGCAGCCTTGTTCTCCCACCAACCGGATGGTCACGGTTCTCGCGTTCCTCTTCCCAGCGGGGTCTGGCATTCTGCTGGTCGACCGGCAATGAGCTAAACCAAACGGCTTTGCACAGACCAGCAGTGATGAGGGGCCAAGGAAGGAGGGCATGACAGTCGTAGACTCCGCATGTGAGGAGAAGCCAGCAGGTAAAACCAGCAGTGTGCCCCTGCCCATTGCCCCTGTGATGAGGCTGGGTGACCTCAGAGCCCCCGTGACAAGCCACCTTCTCTGCAGTCCTATCTCCATCCACCAGCACCGCAGACCAGGAAGCCTGGACTGTGGTTCTGGACTTCCCTGCTTCCTCCTTAAGCAACGAGGAGCGAGACCGTTGCCTGTCACGGTCCCCGTGGGACCTTGCAGGTGGCCAAAGGCTCCAGTCGGCCACGTGGGGGTTTCCCTCTTGCTTCATCACCTTGGGGTCCTGACATAGCGGCTCTGTGGGGACCCAGTGGGGGTGAGTTGGTTTCTCCTGGGGCTCCCCTCGGCTGCTGCCTCCTCACCCCTCCCTTGTCCCCAGTTAAAGGGAGTCAGCACATCAGGTGTGAACCCCAACTCTGCCCCTTACCTGCTTGTGAGGAGGTGAACCACAGGAGGGCCCTGGTCCCTCCTCATCGTCGTCTGTGCGGCCGGTGCCTGCTTACTGGTCCCCTGAATCCATTCTGATTTCACTTCCAAAATATAGCCTGAGGCTGCTTCCTTCATCCTCATCACCCCCTGCTAAAAGCTTCCTTCCCGGCTCCCGGTGACAGCATGAGGGTGTGAGGAAAGAGATGGCGGTTAGCTATCGGCAAGCAAAATCAACCTAAGATGGGGTGCCTGGGTGGCTCAGTCGTTAAGCGTCTGCCTTCGGCTCAGGTCATGGTCCCAGGGTCCTGGGATCGAGCCCCGCATCGGGCTCCCTGCTCCGCGGGAAGCCTGCTTCTCCCTCTCCCGCTCCCCCTGCTTGTGTTCCCTCTCTCGCTGTGTCTCTCTCTGTCAAATAAATAAAATCTTAAAAAAAAAAAAAAATCAACCTAAGACGAGGTGCCCATTCCCAGACGAGCCTGGGCCTTTTGTCACCACAGTGGCAGGGTTTCGAGAGTGAGCAAGCAGAGCAGAAATGAGCAAGACCTCGTGGGGCGTAGGCTTGAAGGCAGCACCACTTACTTCCGCCGGCTCTTAGCCAAAGCAAGCTGTAAGGCCAGCCCGTACCCAAGGGTGAGGAGAGAGCCCCCGCGTCCCCCCACGTCCTGATGAGGAAGTCATGGAGTCACATTGTGAACGGTTTGGATATGGGAAGAGGTGGGGCCCCCAGTGCAATCCCTCTGGTAAAAACTCTCTGTTTGTTCAGAAATCTCTCATGAGCGTCTGCTGTGGCCAGGTCCGGTATCAAGTGGCCCTTGGAAACAGCAGGGAACAAGTCCGTGTCCAGCCGAGTGGACACAAACAGTCCAGGGCATGTTTGGGGGCAGACAGTGGAGACTGGAGAGTCAGGAAGGTCCGAGGAGGGGCTTGGGTGAGGCCTGGGGAAGACAGGACAGACAGTAGAGGGAACAACCAGGTCCAAGGCCCTGGGGCAGAGGGCCTGGTGCTGGGAGGAGGCCAGTGCGGCTGGAGCGAGGAGGGAGGGGAAGGTGAGTCGCGAAGGTCTGGGCAGACGTGAGAGCTTAATTATATTTTCAGCACGCTGGGAAGCCACTGGAAGGCTTGGGGCAGGCACTGCTTTATCCTGTTTGTATTTTAAATGCGATATTTTCGCTGCCGTGTGGAAAAGAAGTGGAGGAGCGGGGAGAGGTTGAAAGCAGGAGACTCAGAGGTGTTGCCCAGAGTCGGTAAGATGCAAGTGAGGGTGAATCCCTTCTGGGAAAAGTGCAAAGTGTCTTCCGCGTGCTTACTTGTGACCTTGGATCCAACCATGTACCCTTTTCTTCAGTCATGCAAATGGGGGTTAGTAGTACTTGGGGACATGGCTGCGTGATGGTTAAGCAAATAGGCTCCAGAGTCCAAATGCCTGGGTTTGGATCTGGTTATTTACTAGCTGTGCGATCTTGGGAAAATTACTTAACCTCTCTGAGCCTCTGTGTTTGTAATTGGTTCCGTGAGGGTAATATCTACCGCATAGGGTTATCAGGAGGATTCAGTGAGGTCAGGCGCACAATGTCCTTAGCACATCACGTGGAGTCTAGTTAGTGCCTGTGATTACTATAAATATGATTATGATATATGATGAAGGCACCTTTCCACAGTGGGTCCCTTCCTAGCCTGCTTCTTTATGATGCAGTGTCTCAATACTTAATTGTTCTCATAACAACTCCGTGAAGATATTATTATTATTATTATTATTATTATTATTTTAAAAGATTTTATTTATTTACTCGACAGAGAGAGTAGCCGAGGGAGAGGGAGAAGCAAACTCCCCGCCGATCAGGGAGCCTGAAGTGGTGGGGCTCAATCCCAGGACCCTGGAATCATGACCTAAGCCCAAGGCAGACACTCAACCAACTGAGCCACCCAGGCGCCCCTATTTTTGTTATTTTTTTTTAAGATTTTATTTATTCATGAGAGACAGAGAGAGAGAGAGGCAGAGGGAGAAGCAGGCTCCCAAGGAGCAGGGAGCCCGATGCGGGACTCGATCCCAGGACCCTGGGATCATGACCTGAGCTGAAGGCAGACGCCCAACCATCTGAGCCACCCAGGCGCCCTATTTTTGTTATTTTTTTTAAAAAATAATTTCTAAAGATGAGGAAATTGACAGTTGGCTACTTAGGAAGTGGCAAAGCTGGGATTCAAACCCAGGCACTTCTGGTTCTGAAGCTCTCTTTCCACGTCCCTCTCTTACTTGGAAGAAACACAGAGCAGCCCCAGGAATGAGAGATGCCAGGACACTAAGGCATCAGAAGTGCTGAATTCCAGGGTGGGGAGCTGGTTAAAAGCCACTGCATATGCCCCCTTCCCATCACAGAGCCAAAGGGAAGTCTCAGATTCATTTTTTA